GACTGAACTTTTAAGCACAAGGTATTTAAAAATTAAAACATCAGTGAACATTTATTGCAGTGGAATATTCTCTTTGACAGTGCAGTTTTGGATGGCACTTGCAAAGCATCAGCACACAAATACTAAACTGAACAGTTCCTTCATGCTACAAACCTGGTCTGAGTAAAAATGAATTGAAGTACTACTTTAAATACAAGGCAGGGAAAAAAAAAATAAACTTATTTCCTGAGGTTACAGCTTTTCAAAAGTCCTCAAAAATGTACTTTAGCAGTTCAGTGATGCCTACTAATTTTTGGCAATGTTATAAGCACTCTGACGTGAACAAATATAATTCCTCATGTCAGTTAGGCCAAGCTATTAATTGACAATCTGTATATTTTGGGCTTGAATTGTGCCTTCATTAATGACTTTAACATGTCTCAAATTCATAGTCACGATTTTTAGTATATTTGAGCTAAATAAAAACCAATTGTCATTTGTAATTCATATTTTAGTAAGGAGACTCCTTAAACACTTTCTAAAAAAAAAATTCAAAGATTATTTTATTGTCTGTAATGCAAAAATAGTTAATGGATGTTATCCCTCAATAGAAAGATTATCTTACCTATTTCATCAACTTGAAATGCTGGTGACTCAAAAGGAGTATCAGGGTCTTCAGCAGATACAGTATGCATCTTTGAAGCTTCCTCCTCTTTCCGAATTTTTGAAGGAGGGAATGCCTCTTGTTTAGTTAGTGGGGTGGTAGGATAAAACATTTGAGAGTTGTCTGAAATGCTTCTTTTGTGCCCATTTACATGTTGCCTTGGGTTCCTGGTTCCTGTAAAATCATCTATATTTGACTGCTTGCTGGATCTAACATTAATGTCCAAATCAGCAGAGGTTATATTGGTATGAAGGCACTCTACAAGTTCTGGACACTTCTTGCCTTTTCTCCTTTTATGTTCTTCTACGAATTTATTTTGGTCCAAATTACTTTTGATTTCTAACTGAACATCACGGGGTCTTCGTAAAAAGTGAGAGCATTCACGTGACCCAATGTTTTCACTGGTCCTACATTTAGGAGTCGATTCTATATAGCTAGGAGTGTCAGATGTTGGAATGACCTGAGATTTACAATTGGATTGTACAGAAGAATTGGTAACTTCTTTGCAGGCAGAATTGCAAATAACCCTTGATCTAAGGATCATCTTTTTAACTTCTCCACTTTGATCTTTACCCTCTCCAGAAATTTCAGAATCACAAATCTGTAAAGATGAATTTCCCACATTTTGCAGCCTCTCTTCACCCCGATACTTCTCTGTGTCAGCAGCTTCCTGTTTCATTGGTAACAGCTGCTCACACAGTGTGTGACTGTCACACGAAGTGTTTGGCTGGAGTTTAAAGAGATTTTTTCTTGGCCTTCTCACGCTTCTTCTTACTCCACTGTTTCTTTCCTTACCAGCATGGTTTTTCATTTTAGCTGAATTTGGGGTTAATGTGCACGACCTAGTCAGTCTTTTCTCTTCTTCAACCCCTGATAATGTTTCGTTACAAGATACTTTTCTGCTACTTTGTCGAGTGCAAACAGTTTCTTGTTCCTGAAGGGAACGCAATCCATTTTTCTTTGGTGTATTTTTTCTTTCATTTGCATTGTGAACACAGGAACACTCTTTAAGCTCCTTTGAAGTCAAAACTCGAGTCTTTGCCATTACCGGTTCCTTTATAGTCATTTGAGCAATGTGACAGTCACGATTGGCTAAAATATTTAGGGCAATTCGAAGTGCCTTCCTGTAAGTCAGTTCTTCCACAGCTTCTTCGTGAGTAAAGTCTTCCTCATGCACTTTTTTTTTTTAAAAAAAAAAGAATATTGATACAGATCAGAGCAGAGAGAACAAAACTATGAAACACCGAATGGTGAATATTGCACTCAAGTTATCTATTCTAAGGGAAATTTAAAACTTGCCCCTGCCACAGTTGCTTGGAAACTCTACCGTATGTGCCCACATTAAATTATTATAAATGCTGTCTTACTCGTGCATACCGAAATAAAGTAAATTTAGTCCCTGGGCTGTGAATGGGTTCTGTCCCTGAGCTCATAGGTCAATTTGTATGCAAGTCAGAACACAAGACCGAAAATAAAACATCTGTTTGTAAATATGACTGAATTTTTGCATGAAGGTTCTTAAAATTAATAGTAACATGGGGTCTGGATTGTAAGTGCAGATGGTCCTAAATGCGGAGACCATCTGTGAGTATTTTAAGTGCAGTCTTAAAATTCCCTCTTAAGGGGAGAATGCAAATCAAGTAGAAGGAATGAAAAAGAACCCAAAAGCAAATAATTTTGGTGCCTTGTGGTTTTCTTTTAATTCCATAATAACCCACAACCCTATCTATTAATGCAGGAAATACTCAGTCATGATTCAAGCAGAGTAAAAACTTGTGACGATATACAAGAAGTTATCAAATTCCTTGCATGACCTGAGCCACATACTACTGGGAAGCTTGAAACAAACCAAAAACAGTTTATGCAGAGATCAAACATTTCCCTGATTTAATGTTTCAGGATGAGATGACCATAGTCTATTACACGCCCAAAAGGTGAAATGACATACCTCAAACTTACTTTGAGCTTCACTGGAAAAACAGGAGGAGGACAGCAGGAGAGCAAGGTGCAGAACTGAAATGACAGGCTACTGGAAACCTGGGGTCATGTTTGCCAACTGAATGGTGTTCCATTAGCAGTCACTAATGCATGTTTGATCTCACCAATATAGAGGGGACCATATTGCAAGCAGCAAATGCAGTAGACTCAACTGAAAGTAATGTATATAAATCACTGCTCCAGTAGCAAATCGTATTTGGGGCCTTGGACAGAAATGCCAAAATGCGAGATCTTGTACTTTGTGGAAACAGAGGCTAGTTGGGTAGAAGGTGAGAACAAGGGGAACCCTATCATGATTCTGTGAGCAACTGAAAAAGCAAATTGGGGTGAAATGTTGAAATATGAAGTAAGCTAGCTAGGAAAATACAAGATTGCAAGGTTTTTTACACACATAAAAGGTAAGAGAGGCAAGATTGGATATTGTATCACTATAAAATGAGGCTGGAGAAGGAGGACAAAGAAATGGCAGAGGAACCGAATAGGTACTTTGCATCATTCTTCAGTGGAAGACACCAGCAGCGTACCAGAACTTCAAGAGAGTCAGGAAGCAGAGGTGAGTATAGTGGCCATCAATAAGGAGAAGGAGCTCCGGAAGCTGAAAGGTCTGAAGGTGATTAATCACCTGGACCAGATGGATTAACTCCAGAGCTCTGAAGGAGATAGCTGAGGATTTGGAAACAATTGTGGAGATCTTTCAGTAATCACTAGAGTCAAGGAAGGCCTCAGAGAACTGGAAAATAGTTAGTGAAATATGAGATAGTAGGAACTGCAGATGCTGGAGAATCCGAGACAACTAGGTGCAGGGCTGGATGAACACAGCAGGCCAAGCAGCATCATAGGAGCAGAAAGGCTGACGTTTCGGGCCTAGACCCTTCATCAGAAATGGGGGAGGGGAAGGGGGTTCTGAAATAAATAGGGAGAGAGTGGGAGGTGAATAGAAGATGGATAGAGGAGAGGATAGGTGGAGAGGAAACAAACAATTCGAAGAGGCGGGGATGGGGCCAGTAAAGGTGAGTGTAGGTGGGGAGTTAGGGAGGGGGTAGGTCAGTCCAGGGAGGACGGACAGATCAAGGGGGCGGGCTGAGGTTGGTCGTAGGAGATGGGGGTGCGGCTTGAGGTGGGAGGAGGGGATAGGTGGGAGGAAGAACAGGTTAGGGAGGCGGGGACGAGCTGCACTGGTTTTGGGATGCGGTAGGGGGAGGGGAGATTTTGAAGCTTGTGAAATCCACATTGATACCATTGGGCTGCAGGATTCCCAAGCGGAATACGAGTTGCTGTTCCTGCAACCTTCGGGTGGCATCGTTGTGGCACTGCAGGAGGCCCAGGATGGACATGTCGTCTGAGGAATGGGAGGGGAAGTTGAAATGGTTCGCGACTGGGAGGTGCAGTTGTTTATTGCGAACCGAGCGTAGGTGTTCTGCAAAGCGGTTCCCGAGCCTCGACTTGGTTTCCCCGATGTAGAGGAAGCCACACCGGGTACAGCGGATGCAGTATACCACATTGGCAGATGTGCAGGTGGACATCTGCTTGATGTGGAAAGTCTTCTTGGGGCCTGGGATGGGGGTGAGGGAGGAGGTATGGGGGCAGGTGTAGCACTTCCTGCGGTTGCAGGGAAAAGTGCCGGGTGTGGTGGGGCTGGAGGGGAGTATGGAGCGGACAAGGGAGTCACAGAGAGAGTGGTCCCTCCGGAAAGCAGATAAGGGTGGGGAGGGAAAGATGTCTTTGGTGGTGGGGTCGGATTGCAGATGGTGGAAGTGTCGGAGAATGATGCGTTGGATCCGGAGGTTGGTGGGGTGGTACGTGAGGACAAGGGGGATTCTTTTTTGGTTCTTATTGCGTGGACGGGGTGTGAGGGATGAGTTGCGGGAGATGTGGGAGACACGGTTGAGGGCGTTCTCGACCACTGAGGGGGGGAAGTTACGGTCCTTGAAAAACGAGGACAACCGAGATGTACGGGAGTGGAATGCCTCATCCTGGGAGCAGATGCGGCGGAGGTGAAGGAATTGGGAATAGGGGATAGCATTTTTGCAGGAAGGTAGGTGGGAGGAGGAGTATTCTAGGTAGCTGTGGGAGTCGGTGGGCTTGAAATGAATATGAACAGCAACTCATATTCTGCTTGGGAACCCTGCAGCCCAATGGTATCAATGTGGATTTCACAAGCTTCAAAATCTCCCCTCCCCCTACCGCAACCCAAAACCAGTCCAGCTCATCCCCCACTCCCTAACCTGTTGTTCTTCCCACCTATCCCCTCCTCCCACCGACTAACCTCATCCCGCCCCCTTGACTTGTCCGTCCTCCCTGGACTGACCTATCCCCTCCCTAACTCCTCACCTACACTCACCTATACTGGCCCCATCCCCGCCTCTTCGACCTGTTTGTTTCCTCTCCACCTATCCTCTCCTCTCCTCTATCCATCTTCTATCCGCCTCCCACTCTCTCCCTATTTATTTCAGAACCCCCTTCCCCTCCCCCTTTTCTGATGAAGGGTCTCGGCCCGAAACATCAGCCTTTCTGCTCCTATGATGCTGCTTGGCCTGCTGTGTTCATCCAGCCCTGCACCTTGTTAGTGAAATATCTCTTTTTAAAGGGAGGAAGGCAGATGACGGAAATTATAAGCCAGTTAGTCTGACCTGTCATTAATAAGATTTTAGAGCTCATTATTAAAGGGTAGATTGCAGAGTACTTGGAAGTGCATGATAAAATAGGATTGAGTCAGCACGGCTTCGGCAGGAGGAGGTCATGTCTGACAAATCTGTCAGAATTCTATAAGGAGGTAACGACCAAATTGGACAAAGGAGAGCTAGTGGATGAGATCTGACAATTTCCAGATGGCCTTTGAAAATGTACCACACAGGAGGTTGCTAACGAAAATAAGAGTCCATGACGTTAGGGGCAAGGTATTGGTATAGATAGAGGATTGGCTCACTGGCAGAAGGCAGAGAGTAGGGATAAAGGGGTCTATTTCAGGATGGCACTTGCTGACTACTCGAGTTTCACAGGGGTCAGTGTTGGGACCACAACTATTCACGTGATATATTAAATGATCTGGACAAAGGAACTGAGGGCATTGTTGCCATGTTTTTAGATGACACAAGGGTAAAGGGACAGGTAGTGTTGAGGAAGCAGGGAGGCTGCAGGTGGTCTTGGACAGGGTAGGAGAGTGGACAAAAATGGTAGATGGAATACCATGGGGTAAGTGTGAGGTCATGCAGTTTGGTAGTACAAATAATAGTCACACGATATTCCCTAAATGGGGAAAGGTGTTGGAAATCTGAAGAACAAAGGGACTTACGAGTCCTAGTTTAGGATTTTCTTATGGTTAACATGCAGGCTCAGTTGGCAGTTAGAAAGACAAATGTGATGTTAGCATTCATTTTAAGAGGGTTAGAATGCAAGAGCAGATATGTACTGCTGAGGCTGTATAATGGTCTGCTCAAATGGCATTTGGAATACTGCGAGCAGTTTGGAGCCTGATATCTAAGGGAGGATATGCTGGCATTGGAGGGAGTGCAGAGGAGGTTTTACAAAAATGACCCCAGGGATGAAGGGCTTTTTATATGAAGAGTGGTTGAGGACTCTGGGTCTGTACTTGGAGCTTGGAAGGATGATGGAGACCTGATCAACGTGTACAGAATACTGACAGACCTGAATACAATGGAGGTAGAGAAGTTGTTTCCACTAGTTGGACAGACTAGGGCCTGAGGGCACAACCCAGAGTGAAGGGACAACCCTTTACAACTGAGATGAGGAGGAATTTCTTCAGCCAGAGGGTGGTAGATCTGTGGAACTTGTTGCCACTGAAGACTGTGGGGCCAAGACAGAGATAGATAGGCTCTTGATTAGTAAGGGAACCAAGAGTTACAGGGAGGAAGCAGGAAAATGGGATTGGGGAACATATCAGCCATGATTGAACAGTAGAGCAGACTCAATGGCTTGAATGGCCCAATTCTGCTCACGTATCTATGGTCTTATGGTAGGGAAGGGGTGAGCAAAGAGTACCTCAAGCATCATGTCAAACATCACCTCAACCCCTCCTAATATTCCCTCAGTGATAGTCTGGCCCACTCCCGAGTCACCCATCAAACTCCCATCCACATCCCACAGCACCTATCTATGCGAATACCAGAGATTTAACAACCACCATTTTACCTTCTCCCTTCTCACTACCCACCAGCCAGAATACACCTTGTAAGACAAACAGTGATTGGTGTATTTCTTCCAGTCAAGTCTGCCATGTGCTGTTCACAGTTTAGTCTCCACTATAATGGGAAAAACCAAACCCTTATTAGGTGTCTGCTCCATGAATGCCACTGTTTAGGTTCTAAGTATGACCCCAGGCCTCTGGAGGCCTGTTAGTTTTAATTCTCCACTTTGCTCTCATGGGAATATCTCTGCCCTCGGCTTACTGCATTCCTTCAGTGAAGCTCACAGCAAGCTTGTGGAGCGATTTCAATTAAGGCATTTTAAAGCCTGCCAGAAACATCATGAGTTAAAACAATTTAATAACATAATCTCTCCAGACTTCACCTTGTATTTTTACTTTCGGGGTTGGCATACCTACTCTAGGCATATCTTCCATTTCTTTGATTCTTTTCTTGCCCCATCATCATTCCCTTTGTCTGCCAGGGCCAATCTCTTGTCATTAACTCTTCGCAGTTTTCCACTGTATCAGTCCTTCTTCCTATCCTTTTCCCACCCAACTCTTGTTCATAGCATATTACACTGCTTGTCTCAGTTTTGATGAAAGGTTACAGAGCTGAAAGGTCAACCCTGTTTCTCTCTCCACAGATGCTGCCTCCCTGCTGAATATTTCCAGTACATTCCATCTTTATTTCAGATTTCCAGCATCCACACTATTCTGCTTTCTGACTAACTGCTAAGATCATTAATTAGAATCACCTCAAAACTTGCTGAATCATTTTGCCTTTAATTAACTGTGTGCCAAATTGCCAATGGGCATGCTGAGGGACATACAAATGCAACACAAAAGCACATACTCAAAGTACTAGCAAAAATGCAAGATCCTAATGTGTGTGCATACATACAAAATTTCACAACCACTAGGTGCTGGAGCAAATAGAGGGAATAATTTTTGACAATAATAAAAAGGCATGCTTAGGAAAAGAAACAGGAAATCTTGAACTAGCATCTCAGAAAAAAAAAGTTAGTTAACATTTTGTATAGGGCCCCATGATCGAAAATATCCTCTTTTTATTGTTGGCAAATATGTCATTTTGTTCAGCAATTCTGTTTGATCATGATGTGTTTATAGCTTTTTCTTATTAAATAGTACATGGCTAAGTAGTTGCAGCAGCTTAACATACATCGCTACATTGGATTTGTGATTTTCCAATGATTTATTCGGTAAAAACTGAAAGAACCGTGGATACTGTAAATCAGGAACAAAAACAGAAGTTGCTGGAAGAGCTTGGCAGGTCTGGCAGCATCTGTGAAGAAAAATCAGAGTTAACGTTTCAGGTGCTGTTCTGAGGAATGATCACTGGACCCGAAATGTTAAAACTGATTTTTCTTCATAGATGCTGCCAGACCTGCTGAGCTTTTCCTGCAACTTCTGGATTTGGTATGCTGCTGAGACTTCTGACATTTAGTAACCAGCATTGTGACGCAAAAACTATTGGAAGCAATTAAAGTGTAGCACAATTATTTTATGGTGACGATTTTGAACACCATTATAAAAACAGATACAAATGTACATAAGCTGAATTGCAATGTTGTAATGAACATATTTGTGCAAGAGGGCAGATAGGGAGGTAAAAAAAAAACAATATCAATGAATTGGCTTAAGGACACATACCATTTCAACTACTGTCATCTTGAGCTTAGCAAGTTATCAGAGTGATGACTTGGGATAACAATGCAAAGTGCTCCTCCAACCTGAATAGCAATTATCTTTTCATAATAATGGGCACTACAAGAACTTATTCATTGCTATTGTGGAACACTATCACAATTGCAGTTCAATGCTGCTGCCCACTGAAACTCTCTCAAACTGTCATGCAATTTGAATTTTCATTCTCCAGTTGGAGTTACTGTGTGGTGGCAACCAATGCCCACAAATTCATAAAGATATAGCTTCGTATTTCTACAGCAGGTTGAATCTTTTTTGAAGTAATATTTTCTAAGTTTGCTTATATCACCATGATGATTGCAGTCTTAATACTGCTGGGAAAAGTATTAACTAACATGTTTGATGTCAGTAAGTTTATTCCTCAAAAATATACATCAAATTCAGCAAGTCTATCAAATCTTTATATAAAAAGTCTACAGAGAAGTCAACACAATTCAATATTCTTCAGTATTTTTACAAAATACAATTTTCAATGAAAATACAAAAGGTTAGCTATACTTCAAGCATAGCTACGGAATAAATAAAGGATCAGCTCCTGCATTTCAGATTACTGAAATAATTAAGCTGTGTGGAGCAATAATCAACCAGATATTAATCTTGCTCAAAATGGCACTCTATTAAAAAAAACAGTACTTAAAAAAAATTTGTAAATTTCATAAACAAGTACTCACCCAACGCAGAACTAATGTCTTCAGCCTGTTTTTGCTCAAATGGTCTTGTGTCTATGTACTTAACACTCAACCTAAAATATAAACCGAATGTTATATTTTGTAGTTGCTTGAAGTTAACAATTTTGTACAATAGTAGTAGAAGAACAGGAGGCAATTAAGCCCCTCAAGTCTGTTCTGCCAATGATTCAGAACACCAAGCCAAATAGAGGAACAAGACTGTCCTACAAAATCTGGGATGGTTACCCTGCAACTTTGAACACCAAGTGCCAGGAAATTTAGTCTCCATTCTTTCCTTCTTCATACACAAACATCCTGAGCAAACCTGATATTTGGACAATATTTGCATAGTCAGCCCAAATAACATTGGTTGAGTGGTGTAAGCTGCTCTCCTTAGCTATTGCTTAGAATAGGAGGCGTGTAAATGAATAAAGAATTAATATTTAGTACTTTTTGTATAGAAAATAATGCTAGTTATTAGAAGAATATGAATTTGATTTTATGGAGCATGTAACAGAACTTAAACAGCCTAGATTTTTTTCAAACTTTGTAGCAGCAAGTGGAAATTTAATTTGCTTCATCATTGCTTCAATACTTACTGCTTATCCAAGCATATTAGTTGGACATCTAAATAATCTGAAATGTTCTCAGATGCCTTACTGGAAGAATTGCTGGACTTCGACAATATCTTTTCAATTAAAAAAAAGAAGAAAAGAAAAGAAATTACAACATATACTATTCCAAGTGAAAATGATGCAATCAAGACTTAAATTGCATTTACACAACTGCATTAGTTCCAAGTGGAAACAGTGCAATCAGCAGGGTTTTTAATCAATTATAATTGTGAATGTGGAATTGTGAATGTGAAGTTTTTACATCATGCATTTAACTTTTGGTAAGAATTATAAAAATGTTATAGAATTATGTCCTTGCACTCTTTCTGTGACCAGATTTGATCAGTCACTCATGGTAGCAGTAGTAGCGTGATATCAGTAGTCAGGATTATATCAAAAATAACAGCAAACACATTTAGCTATTGCACTGTGTTACATCTCTCTTCAACAGTTTGAAGAACTTTGGGACATTATGGTTATGAAAAGTGGTATATAAATGGACATCTTTCAAGGTGATGCAAAACAAGCTGACACGAAGGATTATAAATTGACCGTTCACCTCTGGCATATGTTCAAATTCAGCCAAACTTTAATCTTTAAAACAAAGTTTCCAATTTGATGCAGTTAACACTATTCATGAAGCAAGCTTGACAGGTCACTACCTAGCTCTTGAGAATGGACCTACAAAAGTAATTTGGTCTTAATTTAGTACAGCACTAATTTTTAAACAAGTCTAACAATGTTTGGATTCAATATTGGAAATAGACGTCAATGACTTAACAGAAGGTACAAGAGAATATAACTGTGAACATTGTCCATGCAGAGAAGATATTTTTCACTTCAAAACTATGGGACTTTCTACAAACCTCAGGCTTTTATCACTTACTGCTTCTCGACACGTTGCTTTTTGCAACATTAATAGTGGTGTAAGGACAAGTTAATCACTCTTTGGAATTTGTTAATGATTGTAATATACAGAGAATTCACTCTACTAATAGCAACCTTAAACTTCCCTGCTTGACAGATTAAAGGCTAAACTAGTTTAATGTACCACTAGGTTACTTAGCTAGGAATGACCTTAAACTAATGGTCATTTTACACATTGCAACAAACCCAATCAGAAGACATGTCAGTGTACATAATTTTAATGAACTGATAATGAGTACAGGAAGGAGTGAATCATTCTCACATTAAAAAACAATAGGAATATGATCTTCTTTTGAAATGCAATTTAGATAGAAGCAGGAAACAAATGCTATATGGTATTAAATCAAAAACTGACTTAGAATTTAAATTCCACTTGATACAACAACAGTTATTTGCAGCAAGAGTGAAATTACCAATAAATAACTCCAGGAATTATGCTAGTCAAAAAAAAATGTACAAGCATCAGCTAGGTTGTTCATGGGATGTAGGCGCTGATCGCAATGTTAGTAATTACTGCTATTCCTAATTGCCCTTGAGACAGTGGTAATGAGCCATCTTCTTGTACAGCTAAACTTCAAGTGGTAAAAGGCATGCTTTCAGTGCTCTGAGGATAGGAATTCCAATATTATGACCTGTGGGCACTGAAAGAAAAGTGATATATTCTCACATCAGAATTTGTGCCAAAGGGGAAACTTTCAGCTGGTTCTTGGGCATCTTTTGCACTCTGTCTTCTAGGTGGTAGGAGCCAAGAGTTTGGAAAACTGTTGTTGAAAGACAGCCACTAAATGGGGCTGTCAATTCAATTTTTCCTATATTTTTCAATTTTCTATTTTTCAACTCGATTATCTAATTAAGAATTATATACATGGCCATGAGGAAGCAAAGGGAAACGTTTAAAATTGGATATTTATAATGAACATTTACATACCAAACTCAGAACTGTTGGTACTATAAAATTCTATGATTTTATGTTTAAACTTCCCAACCATCATTAGGTCTGATTGTAAATTTGCTATGTGAGTGCATATTTGACTGTTATTACATGTGCAGCATATTTGATAAACTGACAGTAAATTTATAATTAAGAACCCCTTGACTGCTTACTGAAATTTAATAATTCTAAAACATACAACTAAACAAATGATCATACTAGTGCTATCAAACAAATCCCAAACAATTGATTCATTAAGTAAATATTATTGGTATCATGATCTGAAATCCATTCTTACAAATACAAAAGAACCAGGTAGTTGTAACATCTATCATACATGTAAATATATAATTTATTACACAACTTTTATAAAAGGCACTCAGTAAAGGTGAAGTACATTCTATTAATCTGGGACATATTACAAAATAAATTCTTCAAACATGCTATTTAAACTCCAAAGTATGAAGTTAGAGGCAGCCTGCAACAGGATATTTGATGTAATACTTGCAAACTCACAGTGAAATTAACAAAAAGCAACTTTGGGAAGTACTGTCATTCCAAGATCTCACATTTGTGGAAAATTGCAAAGTGTAGCTTTCCAGCTGGCAATTAGCTGAAAAGTTAAACGCTGCTAAAAACAAAGGATAACCAAGACAAATAAATACACTCAGAGGTAGTAAGAACTGCCGATGCTGGAGTCAGAGATAACACATTATGGAACTGCCGGAACACAGCAGAAATCTGAAGAAGGGTCCTGACCCGAAACGTCAACTTTCCTGCTCCTCTGATGCTGCCTGGCCTGCTGTGCTCCTCCAGCTCCACACTGTTATCACCAAATAAATACACACCCTTTTAAGTTTGTAAAATTTGTAGGAGTTAACTGGGAACATGGTGTTTAGACCAGTATTTTGAAAGAACTATTCATTTAATCCCACTCTTTATACTTTCTCTATAACCCATGTTTCCCATTTTTTAAATTCCTTTTTGAATGGTTAATGTTGAAAGTGTTTCCATCACCCCTTTGCTGCTTTAAAAATAAATCCCCATTCCTCTCATTCTTTTTCAATTATCTTAAAATTTGAGTACTTTGGTTACCAACGCTCCTGTCACTGGAAACAGTTTCTCTAATTTACTCCACCAAAATCCTTTAACGTTATGAACATTTCTTTTAAATCTTCCCTGGGCTCTCTCAGCTCTCAGGATAGTGCGGGAGAACTTCTTCAGTCATTGCACTGGAATCTTACATCCAGATACCATTCTTGAAAATAAAAGCAAAAGAAACAAAAATAAAAACAGGGTGGTGCTGAAAAAGCTTGACAGGTCTAGCAGCATATATGGAGACAGAAAGAGTCAATATTCTGCACCCTCTCCAAAGCCTTGACATTCTTTCTAAAACATTTAGTGCCCTGAAATGGAAACAATCTAGCCTTGGGCTAACTATGATTTTTTTTTTAAGAAAAGAAAAAGTTTGCTGCTCTTGCACTCTGACATTATAAAGCTAAACTTAGCACAGGCCTTTTGAACAATAATTTTCCAGCAACCCTCAAAAGACATGTGTAAAACCACAGGTGCATGTTCTTGCACCTTCTATAAAGTTGTACCATTTATCTTACATTTCTTATTCTCTTCTGCACTTTATGTATCCTCAGAGATTCTGAACTGTATTATGGAGCTCACATATTTCCAATTTTCTTTTTCTGTTTCATTGTAATGCTTTGAAGGCTCTTCCCTTCTCCTCACCAACCCCCAACCCTGAAAGGTATGTGTCTTGTTTGTGCATCAAGCATCTCTTTTTTTTTGAAAGTCTCCTATTGCTAATTTAACATTTTACCTGTCAATCTTCATTTCCAAGCCACCTGGGTCAGATCCTTTTTCAGCTGACTGAAATTTGCCCTCTTCCACTCAAGTATCTTCACTTTGACTTTTCCGTGTTCTTTTCGGTAACTATGCTAAACTTAATGATAGTGATACAAAAGTGAAATATTGCTGATTGCGTAAATCTGAAATAAAAACAGAATATGCTGGAAATACTCATCAGCTCAGGCAGCATGGGTGCAGAGAGAAAAAGATTTTCCATTTCAGGTCAGTTTACATCAGAACAAAAAATGTCACTGATCTGAAATGGTCGCTTAATCCCTCCCCACCTATCATAGTGATTACTATTTTCCAACAAAGAAAACTGTCCCATTGAAACCAGCTCCATTTTGATCCTAAGGAATAGATCTGATGCTGTTTCTTTTTGCAGTACTGCCCGATCTGATTTCTCCCCTTTCTACAGGATTCTTCATTACAAAGCTTCCAAATTCTTTATGGATCTTATTCCTCATCTCATGTGGTACTAAGAACTTGAATCTAATTTGGTGCAATTAATATTTATTTTCTTCCTTTATCTCACTGCTTTACCTGCTGAGGCATAGGGTAGAGGCTCCTTTACCTAAATAGATATACTCCATATTAAAGTTTAAAGAGAAGTAGTAGGCTTTTCAACTGTAGCATGCATAACAGCCAGGACTGATACTTATTGCAAAAGTCCACACACACACCCTTTATCAGCACAGCACAGTTCACATCCAGGAACAGACTCCCCAATAAGAATTCAGTACAGCAAATGATCAAAAGTGGGCAAGAAGAACAAAAAATACTACGACAGGTCACGAAGCAGTACAAATAAAATGGAAACTACATGAGTTTTAAAAATATTTACTAATTTCTATCATATTTACTGGTATATTAAATATTATTGGTAATCTTCAGTTTTATTCGATGCAACACATCCTCAGAGTACTCATACCCACCAAGAATAGTTTTACTTAATTTATACCAAAACACAAGGGAGGTTCATACACAAACTCATGTATGAAAGACAAAAATCTCAAAACATTTCTATTTAAGGTAAAATTTAATCAGGTAGAAGATACACTATTCAGGTGAAAGAAACTATGCAGAAGTACAAGATGGAGGACTAAAAGAACTGATGTCAACACAAGTGCAATGACACAATATGCAATTACAGTTTAAGTAATAGCACAGTCGCATAAAATATCATTAGTGCTGTCAAAGGAAAAAATTCATATTACATTTTGGTGCAACTGATACATCTCTTAGCCATTGAAATTTCACTTTCATATGCTGCTTTTCCTGAAAATCTTCAATTGCATTTCTACAAATCATTTCTTTTAATTGCTGTAATTACACAGGTTGTGGAAACTAAATTGGGTGTCAGGAAAGTAATCATTAAAAAGGTGCTTTAATATTGATTTCCAAAAGTGCATATAAACAGAGCCCCATTATCTATAACTGCACCTCAGTGTTCTCCCCCCAGCACAGTATGCCCTGCCCAAATTCAGGTAGGATTTCTTCAATTTTAATTGTTGCAAACAGTATCCTTGCTTTCTAGCCACAGATGAACAAAATCTCTGAAATAGTCTATTGTTGAGGAAGTGCATTCACATGTCACAATGACCCCAAATATTTTCAGGAAATCAAAAAGCACAACAGAAACCTGGTGAGGCCAATCAAATGGATATCCTGCCACACACAATAGCTGGACTTTTTTCTTCCGTTTCTTATCCAAGAAATGACTGAAAATGACTAAAATGACAAGCCAGCCTGCTGCTAGGAGGGAAAAATTAGTGGAAGGAGGTTGCCACGAGACCGATCAGATCTCCTCCAAGCCATAATCACCATTCCTTCAATTTTGCTAAGTTAAAACAGTACTGGGATGTACCCACACCACACAGACTGCAGCAGTTCAAAAAGGCAGCTCAAAACCACGCTCTTAAGGGCAATCAGGATTGGGTAATAGATGCTGGCCTAGCCAACAATGAATGAATCACAGAATTTGTTATATTGCAGGAGACCATCTGGCCCATTGTGCCTGCACCAGTTCTTCATTATCTAGCGTCAATCTCCTCCTTTTCCTCATACCGTTGCACACTATTTCTATCCAAATCTTCATCCAATGCTCTCTTGAATGCCTCAATTAGAATTGCCTCTTCCACATTTCCAGGCAGTGCATTCCATATTCTAACTACATACAGAACACATACCAGGGCAGAATGATATTAGAATTGAAAGAAAACAGCTCAGAGTTCCTTACATTCAAGATGTTTGGCTTGCAAAGCACTATGTGTCCTCTTAGTTTCAGACTAACCATAAATTATATGATGCCAAATATAAAATGTCTCAATTATCAGTGTTACTTTGATTTGATTAGGCTTCTGGAAATACCAAATATATCTCTAGCCAATACATATCAGTTATATTACAACATTAACCTGCAGAAAATGTATTACAAATTTTATTTTAAAAATGCTTTGAAAGCCTGAACTAGGTATTATAGGCACTAATGTCAATTGATTCCATATTATTTTCAACCTAGGAGTGTTACGAAGTACAAGATCAACTCTTCATTGTAATTTTGATAAATTACAGGTTGAAAATGCCCAAAGATCCAACCTGGCCAACTACTACCCCTTCACCTTTTGATTATCAACAAAGCAATGGGAGGTGCTATCAAGCACGCAGAGGGTGGTACGTATATAGAACGAGCTGCCAGAGCAAGTGGTAGAGACTGGTACATATACAGCATTTGAAAGGCATCTGGAAGGATACATGAATAGGGAAGGTTTAGAGGGATATGGGCCAAAAGCTGGCAAATGGGACTAGATTAATTTAGGATATCTGGTCAGCATGGGCAGTTTGGACCGAAGGGTCTGTTTCCATGCTGTGCGTCCATGACTCTAAGCAGCAATGACTCAGTAATTCACTGACTAGCTTACTGATATTCCAACTGGGTTCAACCATAGCCATTCAGCTGCTGACCTTATTACAGTCTTGGCCCAAACATGAACAAAAAGAGCTGAATCCAGAGGGGAGTTAAAGGAGACTGCAATTGACATCAAGGTAGCATTTGATCGACTCTGGCTCAAAGAGCTCTAATTAAACAGGAGTCAATGACAATCGGGGAAAATACTCCTCTGGTTGGAGTCATACCTAGCACAAAAAAGGAAGATGCCGTGGTTGTTGGAGGTCAACCATCTTAGTCACAGACATCACTGCAGGAGTCTCAGGGTATATATTTTAATTAAATCTTTCCAGACATGTTATGACCGCTCTGGAGGAGGTGGGACATGAACTTGGATGTAGTTTCTCAGGGCAGTATTTTAAGGCCCAACCAAATTCAGCTACTTCATCAGTAACCTTCCTTCTATTATAAAGATCAGAAGTGGTGATGATTTAGAACATTGCAACTTGTCAGGTACTGAAGGAATCCACATCCATATGCATGAAGACCTGGACAATAGTCAGGCTTGGACTGCTAAGTGGCATGTAATATTTGCACTATGCAAGTATCAGCTAAAGATCATCTTCAAAGAGATGATCTCCTCCTGACATTCAACAACATCAGCATTACTATCAACATCCTGGATGTTAACACTAAACAGTAACTGAACTGGACCAACCATATAAATCCTTTGGCTACAAGAGCGGGTCACAAGTTTAGGAATTCTGGACTGAATAACTCACCTCAACTCCCTACAGCCTGTCAACCATCTACAAAACACAAGCCAGACATATGATGGAATACTGTTCACTTGCCTGGATGACTATTGCGCCATCACAAAAAGCTCAACACTGTTCAGAGGAAAGCAGCCAGCTTTGATTGGCACTCCACCCATCATCTTCACAAACCCCCAACCATTAGCACCTTTGAAGGACAAAGACAGCAGATGCATGGGAAAACCACCAGCTGCAAATTCTCATCCAAGCCACAATATTCAAACTTGGAACTATATCACCATCCCTTCAGCGTTGCCTGGTCAGAATCTTAACTCCCTCCACAACAGCATAGCGAGAGTTTCTGTACCATATGGACTTCACTGGTTCAAGACAGTGGCTAGCCATAAACTTGTGAAGGGCAATTCGGGATGGACAATTATTGGCCTAGATAGCAGCGTCACATCGTGTAAAAAAAGGAAAAAGAAAGATGACTCCCATTAGAGACTTGAGCATCTTAGCAAAATAAACTACGTGAATTTGATGGTTAGCACCAAACCAGGTCAGTGAGTAGATTGCTGAGAACACTAGTCAAGAGCAATAACCATGCAATTACAGACAGGTTAGCATAAGTTGTTAAAATCGATTTACAAAATGGGTTTAATGTAAACTAGGCTAGTGACAGATTCAAAGAACATAGCTTAGATGAAGCCAACATTTTGTGAAGAAATGAAGTAGAGGAGTAGCCTGATTACATCAGCTAACAAAACATGCCAAAAATTATCGAAGAAAAAGACAAAAAAAAAAGGCAAACTTACTCTTGCAGGCCATAGCCGACCTTGCCATTCACAAAAGATGAATTCATCCAAATCTTTCATTGCTTTTGAATCAGCATTTCCAGGTTGTTCTAAATCTACATACTGTGGGGGGTGGGAGGGAAAAAAAAACAAGCCTCAGTTTGATGCTTCTTTGTATTTAAACTGTTGTTTCACAGCCATCTAACAACATTTATGTTGTACATCAGTAATTCTCTTATTACTTCAATTCTTTTGTACTGGCATGAAGGATATTCACAAAGGTCCCATTTCATAAACAGTGAAATTTGTTAGAAAAAAATCTTTGCACAATTTTTTTTTTTTTAAAAAACCTCTATTATTCAATGGGTATAGATTCCAGAGGAAACAGTTTTATTTCAGCCAAATGGCAGTAATGGTAACAAAGTTTCATTGGTCAGTATGCTCCTCTATTCAAATTTTGGTTTGAAAGGACTCTTGCGGCACAGTGGTACGCGCCTATCACGGAGCAAAACAACCCGTGTACAAGTGCCATCTGCTGCAGAATTGTGTAATAACATCTGAACAGTTCGCTTAAAAAATGTCTACAGGAACACAAAATTAAAATGTTAAGCAAACCGAATAAAATGTGTTAAATACAATCATAAAATCATACTTAAAATAACAAATCTGTCAACTTCAATAGTAGCAACAATGTACCCATGAATACAAGTAAAATGAATTACATTTTCACTGAATTCAAATCTATATATAGTACAAAGCAAGATAAATGAACCAGTTCAAAAACTCTCCAAGTACCCTATAATAATCATGAACCAGCTGCTTTAAGAAATGCTTCCAGCATGACATTAAAAATTGCAAAGACTCATCTGAAAACATATATAATAATAGATGCTGAGATGAATCTTTGTGCAAACAATTTTACCCATACTCATGCCAATCTGCCAAGAATTTGTACACAAAACCGATGAATTGTTTGTTCTAGAAAATGGAAGTAAATATCTTAAGAATAATGAGGTCTGCAGAGTCAAATGCTAAAGTTGGAAATTTCACTATTTTTAGTACAGATGGCAATATTGCGAGACAAGGATGTTTTTTTGAACTATGAGGCGCCCTTCAAGTGGCAATGAATATTGAAAGAAGGGAGCGCAGACTTCAAAGCAGGAACCCTCGAGGGAATTATTTTAAGTTACTTTATGATATTTTTTGAAATGAAACATCCACAGGATTGGGTTGGCATGGGGAAGACCACAGTTTGTACAAAATCCAGCCGAAGAAGTGTGGTGAGTGGATATTGATTTCATAGACAGGAGAGCATACAATGGTAATTTTGGCCCAAATGCTGTGTTGTTTGCCATGGTGATAGGCTTAAAAAAAATGCAAAGAGCACAGAAGGGGCCTTTTGCTTCAGGATATCCCAGTTCTTTGAAAGGGTTTTCACCATTACTCTACTGTTTTTCCACTTTGCAAAACCAGTGTATCAATATTTTGAAAGGTCTAGCAAATCTCCGGCCACTATTCTATCAAATAGTCAATTTCAAATAATAAACTAATATAATCCAATTTGTGAACAATATCTGACAAATATCTTAAACCTGTACCCTTTGGTCACTAATCGTGCAAGTTTCCTCCTATCCACAATCAAAATTCTTCATAATACTGGAAGATTAATTAGAAGTCTTCCTCAAGTTCAGCAAAGAGGAAGGAAATTGATTTTGGACTGAAATGTATGGATTTGAAATGTCACAATTCAATCTCACTTTTTCCAAATATTGACTAACGTGATTACTTAACCAGCATTTTCACATTTTGTATCTTAAAATAATAAATTATGATTTGGGGGATTAAGTATTTTCTTTTTTACCTCCGATCATAGATAGCTGCTAAGATATTGTAACAAGGTTTATTACGATCCAGGTCCTCAGCAAGAAAGATAGGGGTCCCAATAATATGCATCTTTCAACATCAGCAGTAGCAGAAGTTACCATAGAATTCTATGATAGTGATTAATGGCTGGATGCACTGAGGCATTATGTTCAATTAAATAGCCCACAAATTGTTGAAATATGAGAAAACAGATTATATATTCAGAAAAGTTACAAGTCCATTCTGAAAATTTCCATAATCATTTGAAATGTTGACAAGCTAGAATTAGTTCTTCTAAAAAATGCACCTAAAATGTTGGATTCGGAGTCAATGAAGTGACCATTCAATTAGTTCTCTATTAATAAAGTACCATGCACTGATAGAACTGAATTTTATCCTATTGATCATGTGTCTAAATAAACAAATGGCAGATCATCATTATGTCAGCAGACTCAATTTATGCTGCAAGTCAGGTACAATGAAACTGGCCATAAATACCCTCAATGGGTGTGTGCATGTTGACATCAGATAAGGATTACATTGGGTTCGGCTGGGCAACCTGCTAGATTCAGGCAAGCAAAATGGTGCTGAGTCCAAATGAGACGATGTCTCAAGATCCAAGCACTGTTTCAAAAAAAAAAAAGACAAAAGCAAAAAGAAACCAGAAAAATAAATCTCTGCAAAAGCTCAAATGGATGAAAATACACATGCAGTATTTTGTAGAACAACCAAACGAACACAGCTGCAAGTCCAGCTTAATGGATCTGGTTGCGTTGAGGCAGGAACTTCAAAAATGAAGTTTGAAAACTGAACTTGAAAATCAGCAACGAAATCTTACAAAAACAAATTTAATAACCTGCACCTTTCTTGGAGGCAGTTTCTATACAGCTCTGCACAATACCACAATTTAGAGACAACAAGGTGCAGGGCTAGATGAACACAGCAGGCCAAGCAGCATCATAGGAGCAGAGAGGCTGACGTTTCGGGCCTAGACCCTTCATCAGAAAAGGGGGAGGGGAAGGGGGTTCTGAAATAAATAGGGAGAGAGTGGGAGGCGGATAGAAGATGGATAGAGGAGAGGATAGGTGGAGAGGAAACAAACAGGTCGAAGAGGCGGAGATGGGGCCAGTAAAGGTGAGTGTAGGTGGGGAGTTAGGAAGGGGATAGGTCAGTCCAGGGAGGACGGACAGGTCAAGGGGGCGGGATGAGGTTAGTCGGTAGGAGATGGAGGTGCGGCTTGAGGTGGGAGGAGGGGATAGGTGGGAGGAAGAACAGGTTAGGGAGGCAGGGACGAGCTGGACTGGTTTTGGGGTGCGGTAGGGGGAGGGGAGATTTTGAAACTAGTGAAATCCACATTGATACCATTGGGCTGCAGGGTTCCCAAGCGGAATACGAGTTGCTGTTCCTGCAACCTTCGGATGGCATCGTTGTGGCACTGCAGGAGGCCCAGGATGGACATGTCGTCTGAGGAATAGGAGGGGGAGTTGAAATGGTTCGCGACTGGGAGGTGCAGTTGTTTATTGCGAACCGAGCGTAGGTGTTCTGCAAAGCGGTCCCCGAGCCTCCGCTTGGTTTCCCCAATGTAGAGGAAGCCACACCGGGTACAGCGGATGCAGTATACCACATTGGCAGATGTGCAGGTGAACATCTGCTTGCTGTGGAAAGTCTTCTTGGGGCCTGGGATGGGGGTGAGGGAGGAGGTATGGGGGCAGGTGTAGCACTTCCTGCGGTTGCAGGGAAAAGTGCCGGGTGTGGTGGAGCTGGAGGGGAGTGTGGAGCGGACAAGGGAGTCACGGAGAGAGTTGTCCCTCCGGAAAGCAGATAAGGGTGGGGAGGGAAAGATGTCTTTGGTGGTGGGGTCGGATTGCAGATGGCGGAAGTGTCGGAGGATGATGCGTTGGATCCAGAGGTTGGTGGGGTAGTATGTGAGGACGTGGGGGTTTTTTTTGGTTCTTATTGCGGGGACGGGGTGTGAGGGATGAGCTGCGGGAGATGTGGGAGACACGGTTGAGGGCGTTCTCGACCACTGAGCGGGGGGATGTTACGGTCCTTGAAAAACGAGGACAACTGAGATGTAAGGGAGTGGAATGCCTCATCCTGGGAGCAGATGCGGCGGAGGCGAAGGAATTGGGAATAGGGGATAGCATTTTTGCAGGAAGGTGGGTGGGAGGAGGAGTATTCTAGGTAGCTGTGGGAGTCGGTGGGCTTGAAATGAATATCGGTTTCTAGGTGGTTGCCCGATATGGAGACAGAGAGGTCCAGGAAGGGGAGAGAGGTGTTAGAGATGGTCCAGGTAAACTTAAGTTTGGGGTGGAAGGTGTTAGTGAAGAGGATGAACTGTTCGAGCTCCTCATGGGAGCATGAGGCGGTGCCGATACAGTCATCAATGTAACGGAGGAAGAGGTGGGGCTTAGGGCCGGTGTAGGTACGGAAGAGGGATTGTTCCACGTAACCTACAAAGAGGCAGGCGTAGCTTGGGCCCATGCGGGTACCCATGGCTACCCCCTTTGTCTGTAGGAAGTGGGAGGAATTGAAAGAGAAGTTGTTGAGGGTGAGGACGAGTTCGGCTAAGCGGATGAGGGTGTCAGTGGAGGGGGACTGGTCGGGCCTGCGGGACAGGAAGGTATATTTGGGCCCTTGGATACTGGGGAGGCAGGAGGTAAACGGGCAGGTGTTACAGGAGAAGGTGCCGTAGGGCTGTGGGGGAAGGTGTTGGGGATGAAGGAATTGTGGACCAGGTTGTCCTGGAAGGAACAGTCCCTGCGGAAGGCGGCCAAGGGAGGGGAGGGGAGGGGATTGTGGTGACACCTCGCTGGAGGTGGTAGAATGGTGTCTGATGACCTTTTGGATATGGATGCTGTTGGGATGGTAGGCAAGGACAAGGAGAATCCTATCGCTGTTATGGGAGGGAAGAGAAGAGAAGAGGTGAGGGCAGAAGTGCGGGAGATGGGTTGGACCTGGTTGAGGGCCCTGTTGACAATGGTGCTGGGGAATCCTTGTTGGAGGAAGAAGATGGACATTTCGGAGGCTCCCTTGTTGAAGTTGGCCTCACCTGAACATATATGACAGAGATGGAAGAACTGAGAGAACGGCTTGGAATCTTGACAGAAAGCAGGGTGCAAGGATGTACACTTCAGAAGAAAAAACTTAATCTGATCCATTAATAAAACAATCTGAAATTTTACAGCATGGTGGAGACCAAGTCAAACAGATTTCAAAGGGAATTGGTCAATTACATTAAGATAGAAAATGTCA